TTTGAATTTCACGAATTTTGTTCCAATCCAATACTTACTTCTCTTTTGAACCGAATTATTCACAATACAATCATTCAAGACAGTATTAATCATCGCTACGATACGATTGGCAATTTTTTTCTTCTCGCTAATACGAGTACAAATTCCGATCACAACCAAAGAAGCCCATTTAATCAAATTTACAGATACATCAACGAATCAAAGGAGCACGATAGCTCCGTTCGGTCGAACTGTTCGAATAGAAACACTCGCAAAATTTGCTGACTGGATTTCAACTGACAATCTCGTGGGACAAGCGGAACTGTTAGGCGTAAAATTTGGCGTGTTGGGGCGAGAGTGGCGACCGGAAACGGCGGATGTCACGGTTGCCCGAATTTCGAACGACATGTTGGTAATCGAGAGAGTATTCAAATGTTTCGTCGATACGTGACCGACGTCCGTATACGCGTTCATCGTTCTAAAGCATCTAATTGTGTTTGAAATAACATGAACTTGGTATCCGGTATCCTCTATTCCCTAATTTTCATTATTTTCCATTACCGAAGTTATTCGCAAGCTAGTTTCCGAGTCGTTCGAGTAATATGTCTCGAATTGAATTTCGATTCACGTTGAACGATAGAAGAAAATTTCTGTCTAGAAAGGTATTCTAGGTTTCATGGTAACGTATTTATGACAAATATGTTACCAGGTACATTGCACGAGAAATTTACATCGGACTGGCAGTTCTGAGTTTTCAATCTTTCTTCGGTAACTTGTGCAAATAACTTTTCTGGTGTCCAACCAGTCGCTGAACTTTGTAATTTACAGAAAAAAAAAGACCAGCCACGAAGTATCACTCTTCCAGAGTTTGTTTTCTGTTTAAGATGTGTATAGAGATCACAGAGTAACCGAGCATTATTTCCTTTCCAATGTAATACTTTCCTGAAATTATTATTAACGACCAAATACGTATCATTTTATATATTTATTAACTTAAATCCAATTCGGTATAATTAACCCTAGAGCGGTCTTCGTTTTGACTGTACACTTGAGACTTTTGGGTGAAAAAGGACCTAAGACCTTATGTGTAATAATTTTTGTTTCCAACGCGACATATGAACCTAGACAATAAACGTTTAAAATAATGTTAACGAACGTAAACTTGGTAACAGCAAAAATTACTAAAAATATAAAAATGCGGTGGGTCAAAAAAGACCCGAAGAGCGTTCTAGGGTTAAATAAAATTGTGATCGTGTAATAACATATCGGTCGCTAATAATACAATCAATTTAGGGATCAATTCTGCATGAGTTACTAATCCTCAGGCTCCCAAGAATCTATTTTCAACCTGGTTACAACTCAAGAAGAGAAAATGCTAATTTTTTAAATCATGATTTACATCTTACTTTGTCACGTAAAATCATCCCTTAAAGTTGCCGCCACCTGTTGCCGAACAACTCCTATAATCGACCACCTATTCAATTATAACAGAGATTTAACGCGACCGCGTAATTTTTTAAAAGAATTTCTTATTTATCTACCAATCGTCGCGTCTGCGATCGATCCTAAATTGAGATCAATTTTTGTTAGACTACTCAAATGGAACATATTCGTCAAACTCGTCGCGAAAGGGTCAACTCTGACAGTGAAATTCCTGTATCTGAAAGTTTAGAATATTTACTTTTCAAGCCTAAGGGATTACGTGCAATTTCTAAACAATAGTCTATTGAAGGAAGATTTTGCAAACATTTTTCCTGCGAACATGACTTTCGTGAAACGTAATTCGCGATGGAAAATAAGGTTAGAAGATATAATCCACTTTTTGCTGCGTTCTTTCGTCGTCATATCAATACCTAGCTGTCTCTGCAATGTCCACAGATGTTCATCAATTACGGATTGCTCCCAACGCACATGATTAATGTCAGCGTGTAGATATGGCATTAATCGCGTACACCCTGTGCTCTGTAGGGTAATAAACCAATGACTCGATTCCAGTAATTAGGTTAGAATGCCTACTGTGGAACGTTTAGTACGTATAACACTATAGAAACACATTTATATCAAGCCATTCGCTGTAAATTTACACGAAAAAAATACTATTACGAACGTTCATTCTCGATTACACGAATATTACGAACAACTTCGAATATATACACAATTTTTTGAATTTAAGCCTTAAATATAGCACGACGAAAAATCGGTTCACGGCTACAGTATTACAAGAACGTATTGCCGTGACAAAATCATATTTTACCGGTAATACATATTCAAAAATGGCTGGCTGGATCAAGCAATATGAAAGTTTCACATCTAAAGATTAAAAAATTCGTTTTCGGAATATTCTCGAGGGAAACGAAGGATGTTTATTCATCGATTGACTCTAAAATGAATGAAAGAAGAATATTTAACTACTGCTATTAACAATAACTGCAAAGGAGGCAAAGTTTTCATTGTGTCTTGCGAAAAATCCAATCGATGGATTTTACAGAGTACAAGAAATTTGCAATTCTTTCTGGAATAGGAGTTATAGGACGAAATTTCTTTTTCCAATAGAAAAACGTCATCACGAATGTGATAATACATTTTTATTTATGAATAAACAAGGATTGACGACAATTGATATTCCAGCAGAAGTTTCGCAATAACTCCTCCATTTTGTCATACTTTTACTATTTAAAAATTTAAGAGAGAAGCTGAAAGTTGTATTTATATCCTCTGAAAAAATTGAAACTTTTCATCCAGTAGTTACCTACGAAAAAAATTCCTAAACTTTACCCATTTTTAAACGCCGCAGGGTGGTGTAACGCGTTCTTGACGTGCTGTTACAGCATCAACTCACACTGAACTCTTTTTTATGCCATAATTCTCTAGATTTTCTAATAAACTCGCTATTTTGTAATTCAGATTTTTTTTTAATTAATTCCAGCTTCTGTTTAGAATTTTATCAACTTTTGCTGTAGAAAAATTGTTAGGTTTTCTGTAGAAACGGTTTATGACACGATCGACCGAGAACGGTTATTTTTCAGTTGAGGATTTTCGTTTATTGCTTGCACGGGTCTAATTACATCCTGCGAGGGTCGCTAGAATTGCTTTGCTAGGTTTTTAAATAATTTGTGTCCCTCGCGCTCAATAGCCTACGAACATACCATAAACCACGAATTTCCGAACGGCCCGCTTGCCGATTAGTCACTCGGAGGAAATTCCAGATTTTTGGGACCTTCCGCCCACCCTCGCGACCGTCTCCCACCCTTCCAAGGTGACAGCGCGCTAAGGGTGCACTGGAAGGGCGGCAAAGACGATATCAGACACGCCGATTGGCAAATGCAATCGTTAACCATTAACCAATCAGCGTGTCCCAACGAAAATCCTTCTCACGGACGTCCGAGACGCGACGTCGGAGAGTTGAGTCGTCGAGGAGTCGTTCAACCACCACGAACAAGGAGAACCAAGGAGCAACGCGATACCATAGATCAGTTTTTCCAAGTCCCAATCATTTAGGTGGTCCTTCGAACCAGTATCTAGACGGCACAACATCGTGCAAACATCCACAAAGCACAGGCATTAACAAAAATGTTAACTATTGTGAAGACTAGCTTGTAACTATTTAAATAGCGTACAATATAATTTAAGTTATCGATGTTATCGTTTCCAACTAAGATTTCAAGCTGAGACGTGAAAATGTGTCACTTGCTATCATTTTGTCCGATTTGCGGCTGACACGTTTTATCTTCTCGTTTGTAAAATTTCTTAGAAATGTAAACTATGGATAACCTTTGGTACATTTACAGTAACTGGTATATAGAATGTAGCTGATTTATTCAAATACGCTTTTTCTTCGGTTATTGCATCAAAATGTAGGAATACACGGAGTACGTTAACTTTTAATAACCCTCGCTGTATATATTGCAATAATAATTCTCATTTTACCAGGTTGGAAAACAGCACTTCTTTTAGTTTCATCCATGACTTACTCGAAAATTCTGAATAAAATATTTTCTAATAAAAAGCAATCTTAATTCTATTATGTATTTAATTGTTTTCTTTTCATCGTAAGTAAACACATATTTATATTAGTAAAGTGAAATAAAAATTTCTATTTATAAATACTTTCTCAATAAATATAAATCAGCTCTCAATTGAGCATAATTGACCTCGTGCCAAAATATTGATAAATCGATTCTTTATCACCAGGTGCTTAATTATATTTATGTAGCTTCAAAGAATAATAAATTTATTTAAATATTTTCACGGATGTTTAGTCGTCCCCGAATCATAAATTACCCATGCCTCATCGGTGATAATCGATTATCCGTAAAATATTTACAAACATATAGCAACACTTTATCTTTAAAAATAGCGTTACTCTGCATTTTAATAATAACTCTGATACAAGTTTGTGTGAACAGTTATCTAGAAAATGTTAGTAACGTTACTCCCCTTGCCTCCGATGAAACGTACATTTTCCAATGCGTCGTTTTACACGATATTCCGATTAACCATAATCTGTATTAAATATAATAAACGTATCTCGCTTTTTTAAATACTTCCCGATCTTATCAAATACTAATTAACCGAATTATAAAAAATCGTAAAATGCATACCGAGTGGACCGACAAAAACTGCCACCTGAAATATTTCCGGAATCGTGAAAGTTAAGAAAATTTGTACCTATTTTTTCTTCCTTAGAAGAATACAAAGATCAACGACGGTCGTAGAAAGTTTCCTAGGGTATTTATTGTTGCACAATAATATTTACTTGCTCTTGAATGCTTTAACTACGGGCATTATCGCGTCAAGATAGACATAGTAATGTTAGTATACGTGTATGCTAATCAATTGTACATAATGTATTTATTTGAAGAGCAGCTTGATACGGTCCTCATTTACGGAGGATCCCAGTAAAATTAAGTGATAGCTGAAACACTGTACGCTCAATGATATTCACGCACCGTTCTCAAACTTCGTCGCGAACGTTTAAACGTATTTATTAGTATTTACTTGTTTACACGTGCCTGCATAAATTTCGACTCCGTTAAAAGGTCAATTGAGTGAACAGTTACAACCCTGTAGATGTACGTTGACAGTCGAGATTCCGGTCATCGCATCTAAATATGTAAGTTTACCTAACCGAACCTCTGTGACTTTGACTGACTGTGTGTCACAAGTCTTTTAACTTGCGTATACGAGAAAATAAAGATCTTCGGAGACCTTGACTGACTTCGAGCTGTAAAACTGTGAATTTGAATGCTCGAAAAAGCATGGCGTTAAGAAGATAGAATGAGCTTCTCATCTCTTCGGTAACTTCGTGTACAAATGAATTTTTATAATCGTAATGCCGTTCTTTCATGGATCTGGAGTTATTCGAGGCGATAAGAATCGCGAATGCGGTACACAAGAATCGTTAAATGCACTTGATGCTATTTCTAAGCTATTCGATTAACTTCGATTTTCGTAAAGATATAATAAAATTTGAATTGTGACATTTTTCGTTAGAAACCGAATTAAATTACAACTGCGATCCACGAAAAGTGAATAATGACAATTAGAGAAAATGTTACATCGATAATTCTTTACGACAGATGTACCATTGAAATACATGAAAATAATCAGGCGGTAGGTGATTCTTATCAATGGCTGCACGTGAAAAAGTTCTTGTTTGTGGATCACCATGCGTAAGAAGATGACTGTGTAGGATAGATACTTGTTTCTTCTTACACGTGCAACTGTCTACTATTGTAAATTTCACGATAAGTGGAGAATTCGTGTGTGTCCCGTGTTTTTCCTGGTAGCAATCTGTTATCTGATATATTGATCAAATAATGTTGTAGAACACGTTTACTGGGCTCGGTTCACTTTTAAATTGACAGTCGTCCTATAATCTCTGATCAAAGTGTATGGAGTGCAAGTGGAAGAAATGGCTACCGACGCAGAGAAAGGGAAGTACACGACTCCGGAAGGTTCAAAGACATGGGAATATCTGAGTATTCTGACGTGTAATTACGAAATTTTACTATTTTTCGAAATTTTGTTTCAAGCATTATATTAGATGCAATGTCAAAATTTGTTCGTTCAAGTTTTACGGGATAATATGCGATACGTTCGAAGCTACGCTTAATTATCGCAAATATTACTGCAATTACTGTTATTCACAGATAAACATTTTTCCTATCAGGTTCGATCATGGGAAGTTGCATCGGTTTCGTCGTAGGATGGAATTCACCAAGCATAGTAATCCTAATGGAGGAAGACTCGCCTATTCCAGTCACAGCCTCAGCTGTTTCTACGTTGGTTGCTGTCGTGGCTGTTGGTCATATGGTAGCACCGCCAATCAGTACAATTATTGTTGATAAACTCGGCAGAAAAAATATGATACTGCTCAGTGCTCTACCGCTTCTAATCAGCTGGGGTTTAATTATAATCGCGACGTCTATTTGGGTAAGCTGTGCAATACTTCAACATCGTTCATTTCCTAATGTCGTCCACAGAATATTGTATAATTTAAATTACATTCCTTCGTCAAAGTTAATATCACATATCATTCACTCTATTCAGTTTATTTGAAAAGATGTTCAATTCCACTGAAATTGCGTTCTTTCAAATGTAAACAGCTTAAAACCACGAGAACTTCCGGGACGAGCTCATACAATCTCCTTATCACACATTCGCAATTTTTCACAGGAATTGTACGTGGCGAGATTTCTGGCAGGAATGGCACAAGGATTGTACACTTGCGTCTGCATGATGTACATAGGCGAGATATCGTCACCCGATACAAGAGGTGTTGCAAGCTCTTTAATAGCAATCATCTACAACGTCGGTATTGTTCTAACATTCATAGTTGCTCCGCATCTCTCCTTATCTTGCATGGCTGGAATCTTCTTGGCTGTCACCGTCAGTTTCGTAGTTCTCTTCTGGTTCATGCCGAAGTCTCCGTACTTCCTGGTAATGAGGAATAGACTAGACGAGGCTGAAGAGGTGTTGGAAAAGTTGCGAGGTAAAGTGGACGTTTCGGAAGAGTTGGAATCGATCGTCGCTTCTCTATCGAAGGACGAGAAAGAAATGATGAAAACTGGATCGTTGAAGGACATCTTCACGTCGCGTGCAAACTTCCGAGCGTTTCTCTCTATCATGCTCTTCGCCGTGGCGCAGAATTTCGGCGGTTTCTACACGATCCTCATATACGGCCAATTGATATTCAAGTCGACCAGCAATGTTATGTCGGATTACGTAGTGAACGTAACGATCGGTGTGACACAGCTGATCTCCGCTATCGTCACTAGCTTCCTGGTCGACAAACTCGGCCGGAAACCGTTGATACTCGCGGCAGGTGTCACCGTTACCGTTTGTAATCTCGTGATCAGTGTTTACTTCTACGCGAAAGAGTACATGCACGCGGACGTGCTGCCGTACTCTTGGGCGCCGTTTTTATCGTCCATCGTATTGATTTTCAGCTTCAACTGTGGCCTAATCTGCATGCAGATTACTTTAATGTCGGAAATTTTCGCGACCGAGATCAAAGCGATCGCCACTTGCCTGGTCGGCGTGATCAGCGGATTGCTCGCCACTTTGGGCAGCAAACTTTATATATGGATAGCTCTAAGTTTGAACTACGGCCATTCTGTGCCATTTTTCGTTTACTTCGTGGTTGTCGCGGTGTGCACGGTGCTTATCTACCGTGTCACGCCGGAAACAAAAGGCAAAACATTAGCGGAGATTCAAAGGGAATTGAGTAAATGATCGTTGTCGTACATTCTGCCCGCGAGTTAATTATCCCGCGAAGCTGTGTCCTCCACGTTCCGTGAAGTCCTGGAAGACTGAATTCTTCGCGATCACGATTGTCGCGACGGAGCGCAAGCAAAAAAATTTGCATTTTGTTTTTCTTATTTATTCTGTATAAATGAATCGTGACGTTTGAGGAAGTGGACGCAATGATTTATACCATTGGTATTGCACAAATTATAGGTAGTAACTGTGTTTGAATAGTGGTAACTAGATTATTGAATTTAGTAAACTTTGCGAAGTTTTTCAACTTACAACTTATTCTTAGCATTTCGTTATTTGCTCGAGAATTTTTGAACGAGTAAAATGGAAGTTAGGAAGTTTCTCTGTGACGATGACGAAGAATATTATGTACATAGGTGTAACACGAAATTAATATTATTTGTATATAAGCAGGTGTTTTAATGAGGAGGCATAATGGTGAAGAGATGTAAATTATAGATATGACAGAAGCATAATACATACAAATGTGTCAAATCGAAAAAGCGTACTTTCAAACATGAAGTGAATAACAATTGTGTAAATAACAAATATCCATTATACAGAATACTTTAATATTCGACATTATCGATACATTCTATTTTAAACAGAAGCAATATTGGCTGAAAATTTTTTAAAATTTTGTCCATATGTAAATATTTATCACCTAGTATACTACTCTGCGAATTTTAAAATATGAAGATGTAACATTCTCATTACTCTTAGTTGAAAATTTGGGTAAGTAACGTGTAACATAAAAATTGTACCTTAAAGTATATTAGTATTTATTATCATTAAAGCGACTCGTCGGAGATCGCTGTAGAATATTTATAATTTTCTGTTTGCTAAAAATAATAAAACTTTAATAAAAAATAAAGTATTTATACATTTCGTCCTCTTCTATTTCTTCGACTAATCTACGTTTCACGATAAAGTTACCACTTTCCTCAACACTTCTTTGAAAAATATTAATTAGTGAAAAAGTTACGATTATAATAATATGCGACACAAACTTTCCCCATAAAATGTAACTTAAGTCACACGATACTTTCTGCACGGACATAACAGGTGTCCTAATACTTAGGAACAACAGTCTACGTACGCGTACAGAATATCGTAGGCGCGCAATTAGGCATAGTTCCTCTTTGAGGAACGTCATCCGTTTCATCTACGAAAGGATGCGGCAATCGGTCGAAGCTGTGAATACCTTTTCCACAGAAAGAGACGGAACGACGCGATTCGGGTGGAAGCGTCGTATCATGCAGAACACCGTTGCTTTCATAGAGCAGCATCGTTGTTTGCACAAGGTATTTGTTTGTGTGCCAACGATCGTTAGTGTATTTGGCTGGATGATACAACTGTATGCACAGTGTGGGCTTCTATTTGACCGAATACAAGGACAAGTACGTGTTGGTGACACGTATAGGCTCTTGCATGCACGTTGGATATCTATGTTTGTCCACCCAGCGTACGCTCCATGTTTTGCGATCATGACGCTAACACCGTGCCTACTGATCCACCTCGGAATCACCAAGAAACAGCCTGGACATAAGCTTCGCTGGTTGTTCCATAACGTATATCCTCCACTGATTACGCGATACCCGTAGCATTGCCTCTGCTCTACGTGTATACACGTTGTCTGGGACCATCTAATAAGTATAGCCGAGAGAGAAAATAATCGTTCTACCGGTGATGGTGAAAAAGATCGAACGAAAATTGAGTAAAGCGCAAAGGAGTAAAGCTCTATTTGTACCAACTTCGAGTAAATTTGAAAAAAAATGTTTATGAAATTATTGACACTAATTGAAAAATATAGATTTTTACATGAGAAGTAGTGGTTATTGAGTTGATAAGTTTTGTGGAGGATTTTTGACGAATTTTTTAAATCTGGAGCTCTCGTTGATTTGCACCAGTGTGCAAACAATGGGTGCTTTTTGTTAACTGTGCACAATGAAGAATTTATTGATTTATTGTAGCTTTGTTAATCAAATCTGGAAAAAGTGTGTTGACATTTTTTGTAGATATCAAAAAGTAACGTTATTCTTGAGCCTGATAGTCATTGTTGTCTGTGGAAATATCCTGATTCCCAGTTAATTCGAGTACTCAAGTGGGAGATACACGTCCCAATGGTCACGAAAGTGTTAAATTAATAAGAAATTCCATTTAAAGGATTCTTGAAATCTTTGAAATATAATAAGCATGATTTTTAAAATCGGTCAGGCGACAAAGTTTACACGTATCGACAAGCGAATCGATAGAAATCTGAGCAGAAATCAAAGCTGCGTGAAGTATGCCTTAGTTTTGATTCAGTTTTAATTAAAGAAGGAAAAATGTCGCATTCGACCCTGGGTGTCACTGTATCAATCGATGTTTCTACTTAATGCTTCAATTTTCGATCTCTCTATATTTCTTCCACCGACTGTACCTTCTTGAAGCGAAATCTTATATTGTCTCGAGAAATTTGAATTCTCTACTTTCGGAGAACAACCTGTACGTGCATCCGCCGAATGTACAGAACGAGTCTCGAAAGCTAAGAAGGTTAGTATCAATAAAACTTGAAGAAAATGTGACATTTAAACTGATAACAATCTCGTTTCTACCAGATTACAGTTTTGTGCAGACTTTACTCCGGCAGGGCAAGAATTACCAATGGTACATCCAGAATTATTTAATATACACGGTGGGCCACGTAAAGTAGACCATTTAATTATCTTTTCTAGCTAGTGGTACGAGAAAATTTTTGTATAGAATTTAAATGATTTCAAAGAGTGAATAAGATGGAAGAAATGGCGAAGTTTCACATTTGTCAAAATAATTTATTATTTCATAAACGCGCTGAAGTAGAGTAATGATAATGTATAAACTGTATTTTTGAAATAATTTAATTTTAGTTAAATGAATAAAATTGAAAGAAATGATATATTCTAATTTCACAGAAGGCGAAGGACAACAACATCTTTATGACTTAACATGAAAAACGTCAATACGTAATAACGCTAATTGAATCACTTTTTTATGAAACATGTAAATGTCACACATAGACGATTTAGCCACGTGTTATTAACACAGACATTTTTTTTTTAATCATCTAAGAAATATCAACAACAAATGCACCATCTAATACCATTAATTGCATTAAATGGCATACTACTACATGTATAATCTTTGATCTCAATCAATCATATTACGTAACCAAGAAGCTTATGTGTACTTAATAATACACATTAATAAATTTTCATTTTCCTACGAAACGATAAAAGAATATTTATGCTATACCATCGAACGAATACTAAGAATCATTATTAAAATAATCATCTCGAATATTACATTATTATTGTGTTAAAATTTTGTTTATAAATTCAGTTCAGTTAGTCATAGTAGAATTATAAAAAGAAGAATAAATAGAAAATATTTAATGGAGTTGTTTTGTACAAGGCTTCATTTTTCAAAGGATCAATTTTTCATTTTTTTCTACAGAATTTCGCTCGACGAATTCAAGCAATAAAAATGATCAATAGTGAAATAATATAATTTCTTTTTGGATTTTTTTTTCCAAAACGAAGCTTGGAATGGAAAAACTTTAATCTATGTTATCGATTCATTTTTTATCCGGTTGCGCCATCCTAGCTGCCATAACTTTGACACATATAATTATAGAAAATAAGAACTTATTAGACAGATCTTTACGAAACGGCAGTGTTTATCCGTGCATATGTGTTTAACCAGTTTCTAGGGAAGTACTACATATTCATTAATCAACATAACAACGTCGATCGTGAATAAGTATAAATACGGAAATCTTGAGAAAACGTGAGTAGAATCGAAGTTTCCATTGATCTTGTTTAAAGTGAGATTGCAAGTTTCTTGTCCTGCTTATTTTAAATAATTAAATATTAATAAAGGTAAGTGTCTCGATGCGTATGAATTTGTTAATAAATTTCTTTCGAATATTATATGAAATTTCATTTAATTTTAATGAAAATTTTGTTTAATTTTAATGCAAATTTTCTTTGAACCCATCGAAAGCAAGGAATTGCGTTCGTTTCGCTATTCTATAGCAATTATGACGATGATTTTTATTTAACAAGCATTATTTCTTTCGTTTTAATTACCATTTGTCTTAGTAATAATTGTTTACCATAAAATTTCAATAAAAATTTCTAATGTTTCCTTTATTATCTACAGTATACTTCTCGAAGTAGCAAAATGATTCAAAAAGGTTCGATGTTTTTAATATTCATGTTATTCGCCATTTTCGCGATTACATTCGCCGAAGAGGAAGAGAAATATTCTTCGAAGTATGACGATATTGATATAGATGAAATTCTGGCAAATCCAAAATTAAGAAATCAATATCTAGATTGTTACCTGGGCAGAAAACCTTGCCTCACTGCAGATGCGAAATATTTCAAAGGTAACTTCTAGTTTTATGAATGAAAACGAACTAATTCTCTAAATAATGTAAAATAGGAATTGATAGCCAAATAATAGTAATTCTCTGTAGATTTCGAATTACAAAATAAACATACCTACTCTATCAATTTTAAGTGCAATATCGAGTGCTATTTATTCACATGAAACGCTTTATTCTTTATACCTCGTAATAATTATCGATATTTCTAATTGCTACTATTTCTCTTCTAGATAAGTTTCCTGAAGCTATGGCAACAAAATGCAAAAAATGTACCGATAAACAAGTAATATTTTTCGACAAAGCTGTATCTTGGTTCACTGAAAATGAACCTGAGAATTGGAAAAAAATTGTTGAAACAGCGATTCGGGATGCCCAGAATAAAGAGAAAGAGTAAGACTAATATTAAACGTTGGTAGATCACTGTGTTAACGAATGTAGTGCTTTAGTTTCAACAATAATTTAATATTCATTTAATAAATTATTGTGTAATTCTTTTGCACTTTTAAAATCTTCTAAAATTGCGACAATCTTTTCAATTTCTACATCAAATTTGAAAATTTTGTGTTTATTCTTACACAAATTATAAATCAAGAATCTAAAAAATTCGAGTGATAATACATATAAAGGAATATGTAGTACGCCGAATATTTGTCAATGTTTAAACTGATCTTGAAATAATAATAAAGTATACTCTCTATTGCAAGCTTTTAACTGTTCATTTATTATACCCAAATATTTGTATAAAATTAATGAAACTATAATTTCCTGTGAAACTATAATAGTACACAAATATAATAACTATTGCAACTATCTTACCAACTAAGTAAGGCCCAAATGTATTAGCCGGTCAAGTCCATTTCTTCTATGACGCTTTTTCCCACCGAAACTTGTAAATGTAATGATTCGACAGGTTAATGTCAGAAGCGCATGCGCGAGTCTCGTATTCTACCTCATCCCCGATATTCCCCTGATTTATCACCAACCAATTTTCACTTTTTCCGCTCACTTGACAATTTTCTTACACAAAAACGATTTAGGAAACAAGAGGATATTGAAAATGCTTTTCAGCAGTTTCCTTCTCTTAGAAATTCGAATTCTTATATGCGCGGAATTATCGCTATTGGAATAGGTTGGCAAAAGTGTATCGAACATTATAGAAATTATTTTAAATAAAAATATGAAATTTTAATGAAGTTGTTTTATTTTTTCAAAGTGAACGGCTTAAAACCGCGGGAACTTTCATGATAACCTAATATTTTTAGCTTGCTTACTAATTATTTGCTGTATACATTCTGTTATGAATCTTTTCCACTAAGTTTTATTTTATTAAAATTCATTTTGCACCATACGTATTTATCTATTGCTACGGGGTGATATAATGGAGAAACTTCACGGCAGTATCAGAAAGACGAGTTCGTGTTGGCAGCATTGCCTACAGAACAAACGACCCTAGGAACTTTTTAACGGCATGAGAAAAAGCGGTTCTAAGATTGTCTTCCAATCTCTTTGCTTCTGGACGACATGGCATACGAAGAATTATATTTAATTATTTTTCCGGGTGTGAAGAGACACGAATTCAAATCGGAAGCTATACACACGTGTGCATAAATTATAAAAAGAATAAACTCTTTGTCGATTAAAATAAATAGCATCATTTCCATCCTAAATTCCCTAGCGATGCGTTATAAAATAATAGCTGGTTTACATTAATTGGTTAACACGTTGAGATTCATATAGTGAGGTGGTTATAAGGTGTGCAGTTAAAATTTGTTGCTTTTATCTACTACGTTTCTTTATTATAAATAGTAAATGAACTGTTTTTCATTTGTATAAATACTGAAGTATATTGGAATGGTAACTCTGAACATTAAGAGAAACCTACGACCGAATTGTAGTTCATAGGTTAATCAAGTGAGAGGTGAGCATTTCTTCTTTGATTGCATAGAAAATATTATTAAACTAAGAATTTCAGTGATTTGTTAAATGTACTACTGTTAAATTACAGAATACATATTTACTAACATTTTTATGAAAGTGACACTACGTCTATAATAACTAATTGTCTATCTTTTTATGTATAAGATCATATGCTTTCTTTCACAAATGAAATATTTCTTAAAAAAAAAAAAAAAACGTTAACCATATAAGTTGTGAATTTCACAGTAGAACTACAAATTCCATGATAAAAACTGGATGAGACAAAACAGCGCTCAGAATCGAAAATTGTAATAACCTATAATTGAAGTAACATGCTGTGATTAATTCTAACATCATTTAAAGGTGTTCACTGCTAAACACATATAAATGCCCTTTGGCTTAGACAGCTGGTCTTAGTTGGATTTAATGTGATATATAATAAATAAAATTTAAGTTAACATTAATGATGCTGATTTGATTAAACCTGTATGATAACAATGTATGATACCTGTCCACATAATTCTATCCCTGATTGTGTACCTTTCCCTTTCCTTTGTATGCTTTTTGTACCTTTATTTTTTTTTTTGTTTAGCTTTATTTAATTTGATATCTTCATGTTTTATTACTTAATTCTAAAATATACATATAGCTCTTTTGGTAAAATATTAAGCTTAAAGTAGCTTTTTTTCTTTATTTAACAATTATTAAATAAAGAAAACTGCACAGAAAAAAACAGATAGACAATAATAAGTTCAGTGATTTATCTGTTTACTTATTTGTAAGGTAATAACAGTTTGACAGATATTTCGTAAATTACTTATATTTGTTATCAGGTAACGGAGAAATAAGAAATTATCAAAAACATCGTTTGTCCAAATGGCTCTTGCAAATATATCTGGAATTCCTGATAAGCATTGGCAACCACCGTTTGTTGCGTTAGAAACAACGTAAGTACATATAAATCGTCATTTTTATTTGTTTTATATTTCGATTTTTAGCTGAACCAATAAATCATGCGCAATGGAACAGGTCATTTTTTTATTTTGTTATACATAAATGTAAAAACTTCATTATAGTTGAATATACATATAGATTTTTTGTAAAAACTTCGTAAATATATGTACATACATACTGCTCGTTTCGGCCTGGTCAAGATGATTTAAACGCTTAAAACAGATTTGTAATTTCTTGTAAAACAGATTTCTTGTACATACTGAAGAAGAAAATAAGAACTGCAATAGTATTATATTACTGAATCTTTTGATTTCACAGAATGGGCGAAATACTCATTGAACTCTATTGGAAACACGTGCCAATTACATGTAGAAATTTTGCTGAGCTTACACGACGTGGATATTACAATGGAACAAAATTTCACCGAGTCATTCGGGATTTCATGATACAAGGTATCATACTACTTTTTTTATATTATATTATACTTTTATGTTACAAATACGATATATTTATTCTAACACGAAATTCAAATACGACTGTTCGATAAACATTGAAATAAAATTTACGAAAAATGTATTACTCATTTGTTCCATCATTTCTGTCATTTTTCGGAAAAATCGTTCAAGAATACTCCAGGTGGTGACCCTACAGGAACAGGAAAAGGTGGTGTGTCTATTTATGGAGAATGTTTCGATGACGAAATTCACGATGATCTAAAGCATACAGGTATGTTTACTAGAAATAATACTCTTGTATTTTAATATAATATATTTAATATAATATAATAGCTTTAACACCGTTTTGCACCTAATTGTGTACTCAATTCTTCTGAAAACATTTTTTATTTAGTATTGTGTCAAATTTAGGTGCTGGAGTAATCTCCATGGCTAATTCTGGACCAAACACTAATGGATCTCAATTTTTTATTACTTTGGCACCTACACAATGGCTTGATGGAAAACATACCATTTTTGGTAAGAACATATACTATTTTGAGTTTTGTCAATTGTAAAATGTGGTAAAAGAAAGGTATTTAAGGATGATGTTCTTGAATAGTTGCCAAAAGAATGAGTGTAAACATAAAAATATATTTAGAAATAGATAGGATAAGTTCACTGTACTTAAATCTAATTTAATGTGACAAACTTTCATTTTTGTTTACAGGTAGGATTCAATCTGGCATGGTAATAGTAAAAAGGATTGGTTTAGTAGAAACTGACAAGAATGACAGACCTGTAGATGATATAAAAATTACTAAAGGATCTATAAGAAATGCATAGCCTTAAAATTTTATATGTAATATAACATTTCGTGTAACGATCGAACATGGATCTTATTTTTAATTAAAGTTTTTAAATTCTTTTCTTATATCACTTTAAACATATTACTATCACATCACGTGAAATCACGTACCATCACGTTGCATGCGATAGCACGTGACATTATGAGTAGGATTTATATCTGTATCACGTTGGAAATCATTTAGTAATACATCATATCTCGTTAATAATGGAGTGTGAAACTTCAAGCAGTAGAATTTTGTTTTTGTTGGTTACGGATATCGGCTTGTAAAACGGCATTGCTTAGTGTTAATTTAATTTGTGCTTGATCACATCGTGGTAATTTCTTTGTCATTCTTGCCATGCTTAAAAAAAAAACAGCAGTTTCGTCCAAAACAAAGAAACAATTAGATTTTGGTTGTAAAGATTTGTTTTCATATTTGGCTCTTCTTAATTTTGCATTTTCTCTCATAATACGTATCATTTCTTCTGCTGTATTATTAAATGTGGACTTAGTGCGTTTATTTCGTTTCATATTTTGTGATACTTCTATTGCTTTTGTAGTATCTGCAGAATTTTCTTCTTTCATTTGAACAAAACAGATATGGTTGCTATCCAAATTTTCAGTAGTATCCTGTTCATTATCTGTGTCTTCGGATATTTGTGATTCTTCCATTTTTCTAGCTCACGTGACAATACGCGAAGTGCCGTGAATCCGTGATGTGATTCTAATTTGTTTCCAACGAATATAAAACAATGGAAAAACATCGGCTCATACTTGTCGAAGATCATATGAAATCACGTAACGTGATTTACTGTCATGACGCGAAATGTCGCTACCTCTCGTCGTGAAAACTAAAAGTTGCATTGTCATAACATTGATATCGTGTCGCGATTTTAAGTGAAGAAAGATAGGTCATGTCCCCATCTTGCTCCACTCATTTGTCTAATTTTGCCTCTGTAGATAGATCATATCTTACGCGTTTTCTATGAAATAACCTCAAAAAATTTTTAACGAAAACTAATTTACAAAAAAGTAACCAACGAAGTGAATTAATTTACCACTTTTGGTCAAACAGCAGATACACAAACTGACACTACTGCAAATTTTCTGTAGAATTAGATCATTATTAAACAATTTCGATAATTCGTGACACGCGTAGAATATTCTATTGTTTACTCTAGATGACGTTTTCCCGTCTAA